AAAATGTTCATTGTGGTAAACAAAATAATAATTTGACCTAAGTAAGAGGCTTTTTTTTTCAATTTGTAAAACATCATTACATGATAGAAAAAAACAATGAATGTTATTTTTGAAATATGCATAGCTGAATTATAGAAACTCCGTTATTAAAACCAAAACAACTTTTATGAAGTTTAAATTTGCAGGCCTGTGTTATAACACACAATCCTTGATTATCAGTGGTTTTTTTCTTTTCCCCATATTTTCTCAAAACAATTGTACCATTACAATTTTAGACAATAATTTACATGATTTGGAGAAATTGTCACTCAGAAATTAATTTTGGTTGCAAAAGTTCAGGTGTTGCATGATATCCTGGGTTTTTGTTTGCAGGATCTGGTGTGCCTTCAAGTCAGCAGGTTCAAGCCTAGCCTTGCCTGTTTTATTTTTACCCGTTAAAACAGGAATATAAAATATTTGTAGCTTGGTTAACTTTATTTGATTAGTGATTAAAAACATTGTATACAAAAATACATATTAAGATTTCACTCAACTTCAGTTGTTGTCCACTGTTCTGTGCTGCATGGTGGGCATCCTTTAACCATAGATGCATGCAGGTTGTGTTGGGGTGTTGCCCAGTTATGCATTGTCCTCTTCCCTACAGATAATTTGTCTTTTTAGTGTATTTTGACAAAGGCTTTTTCGTTATAATTCCCAAGCATAGATTTGCACTAATTTTGACTTATTTTTGACAAGCATTTGTAGGTTGTGAATGAATTTCCGTGTCTATAGCAGACAAAGTGATGAAATTTAGAAGCTATTTACACTTATGTTAGCGATTAAATTCAACCGGAATGGTTAATCAAAAGAGGAATTATTATAGGAGAAAAGTGTAATTGGACTTGTGTTACTCACGAAACCTGGAGAAAACAAGCATGACCAACTGACTCTTGACTTTAATGATTATGACAACTTTTATATCATGATAATGTGCTTAAATGACAGTAAAAAGATTATAATTTAAAAAAAGGAACATAAATATATTGAAAATTTATATTTAGATTAAACAATGGGCTAACTGATGAGTGCCTTGATTATCCACTGTTTATGTTATCCAAGATTTTTTGCTTTCCCTGTACCAGCATGGATAATTGAGGCACCAGTGTACAGTGTATATTTATTTATTTTCACAGCAACTAGTGCATGCTAATGAACACATGATATCAACAACACTTGATAGTATTGCCTGAAGTAATTGCCTTTGGTCACATCTGAGTTTAAACAGATGCACTGATTGGTTGAATTGAGAGAAAGAAGAAAATAAAAATGGCACAAAATTAGTAATGTGTTGTGCAACCACAGCACTTCATTCCTGAAAAAACATGAAGAAGTGCCAAATTCATTAAAATCCTAGAAACAAAGTTCGATTTTGGGCTCAAAGAATGCAAAAATAGTTGCAGACTTTAAAGAGTATAGAACTGTTCTAGATCTAGTTCTACTTAGCATAGCCCTACCTATGAATGAAATGGAAGAAAATACTAGGCACCATGATGAAATTTTTACTTACCATGGTGACCTGGCAGACAGGATTTGTTGAGGCCTGACCTAGAGATAGGAATATATATACTGTGTGAAACAAAAGTCATATGACTGGAGATTTCTTAAAGCTTAATAAAGGTATGTTGTTAATGTTTAGTTCTTTGTTTAAAAGTAGTGTTTTTATTTTTTAACAGATATACTATGGGTTTTATTGAATTGAAATGTTTGCAAACATGAGGTTTTTTTTTTACTGTGTTCACCAGATCAAATCAGATAAGTTTAGTGAGTATGGTAGACAACTGCAAAATATTTTGATGACTCAGATCATAATTGAATAATAATGCTTAGAAATGGGTTGAATGGGTAATGAAGAAAAACTTTAATATAAGTTTAACGTAACAGCAAATGTACAACATTTCGACAAGGTTTTGTCATCATCAGGTACAAGTAGTTTACACTGACATATATATATATATATATACACGGTATGGAACAAAGAGGTCACATGACTTGATACTGTTGCAAGACTTGGAAGAGATATTTTGGCACCGCAGGGTGTTGGTTTAGAGTAGAGTTGTTTTGTTCAATTAAGATGGATTTCTTGATTTTTCGTTTGTTTATGTTTGATTCTTTGTTTAAAATTACTGTGTCTTTAATAGATATATTATAGTTTTTGACTTGCAATGGTGGAAAACATGGGATGGTTTTTATTGTGTTCTGTGAATCTGGTTTCCAATTTTCTTCCTCTTTCTTCGATGTAGAATTCTGGGCAGTTATTGCATGTTATTTTGTAAATGATGTTGGTATTGTGGCATTGAATATTATTTTTATGTTTATCTTATTTAAACAATGGACACAAGTAAATTAGCTAACTGGCTACTTAATTATTTTTAATTGCAGTCATAGTATATTTTAAATCAAATTGTCTAATTATCAGTTTATTTAATTTTTAGAGGATCTATAGGGTATTGCTGCATATTTAAAAAAAACATAATGGTGGCCACATGGTTGTATTTAGTTGACATTAGTCATTCATTTGTGAAGTAAGAAATGCCCAGATTATCTTTTAAAAAATTTATAGCAAATTATTATTTTAGATATAAAACATGTTTTTTGCAAAATGTGCAAACGTTGACTTTCAGAAGAGTTCATTCATGTGTGAAACCTAGGATAATTTGAAACTTAGAAAAACAAAAACAAGGTGAAAATAGGAAGATTAATACCGTGTCAGAATAACGCAGTGATGGAAAAATTATGGATTTGATTTTTTATCTGCTTGTACTGGGGGGCTGGAGGTTGTGTTTACTAATCAAATAGCAGATATCACAAATTGCCTAGCTTTGATAAACAGTGTATAAAAACATTTATTATTTTGTGGCAAGAACCTTCTTTTTCATAAGTTTCATGTGGAAATTTCTGTTCTCTTTCATTTTAATCACATTTCAAAGTTTTAATATGTTGACTTTAAAATGTTGTAATATGTGGTTAGATAATTTTTTTTTGTCTTACAGGGTACATTTCATTGCAAACAAGCAATAGACTATGGAACAAATATAGTAGGAGGTATTTCTCCTGGGAAAGGTGGTTCTAAACACCTTGGTGTTCCTATCTTCAATACAGTGGAAGAAGTATGTACTTTACAAAATTGACATGAATAAGATCTTTTACAAAACTAAGAATTAATTTGTTCATTAGCAGTCATTAAATTAAACTACAATCTTTTTTTTAATGATAATCAAAATGTATGCAACTTAATAAATAAATGTACTAAATATTTGAATGATATGAGCTGGCTTTGAGATTTTTAATGTTTAATTTAATTTAGTGGATAGGTCACCTTAGATAGATCAAAAGGTGTCTCGTTGTACTTTAAAATTATGTTAAACATTTTGTTATTGTATTCTATACATCTCCTTTTTTGTGAGTAGATTATTCAAAATGTATTCACAATGTAAATTATGGTCTGCATAGATACATTTTATGCTAAATCAAACATATAATTAGGGCACCACTTTCATATCAATAACCTAAATGCATTAGGATATTTCATGTGATGTTTTACATGTATTTCATCAAATCATAGTGAAAAGCAATACTATAGCATTATTAGACATACAGATTGACATTTATTAATAGTGGCTTATGCCATTTCCAGTTAGTTAATTTGTCTAATCATATCTATTTTGCTGAAAATTTAGCAATGATTAGACATGAATGATGCAAAATTTAGCTGATAAAAAGTAGAAGTAATATCAGTGCTTAAGCTTCAGCAGTCTGAAGCTACATCTTTAGCCAGGATTTTCAGACTCTATTTGCAGTTTCTCTGAGGTTTTTGTCATGAAACTGTTATACAAAGTCTCAATGAGATAAAATGCAATTAAAATTAAGTTAATTAGCATTTAATTAAAGATACATCTTGTGTATCCACAACTTTTCTTTAGTGCATAGCATTTCTTTACTATCTGCACACCCAAAGATGTTAATGTGTTTTGAAGTGACATTTGTGTCACAGTCCTGTAAACAGTGGTGATGGATGGATGACTGATTATGTGCTGTGTTTTGTGCATGCTCTTTAATACACGATCTCAGACAATGTATTGTGGAGCCCACATAGCCAAGGTTACACCTTGAACATGTAAATTTATATATGACATAAGAGTGATGCATTATACGAACCCTGTCTTTATATTTAGAATAATTACTTAAATGAAACATTAGTTTCAAGACAATTCTAAACATAAGATGTGTCCTGAATCAAACAGCATCACCTTTGCTCCTAAAATTATAAAATTAAGTTAAGCATTCTGCAAACAAATGTTCTATGTAGTAATATGACAGAGACTCGTAAATCAAAATAATCTGAAATGGTGCACAAGCTTGGCAAGAAAAGGAGGAAATTTTACATTGAATCTTTATTTCAGATGAGTGAAAACTGTACTGTTTGTAACACATCACAATACAGAACAGAAAAAAATACTTTTCTCTGGTTGCCTGAGAGATTGGAACTTAAAATATAATTAGGGAGAGGGTGGTCCTGTGATGATGCAATCTCAACACATGGCAATACAATGTTTTATGTTATTAATACATGGAAACAAGCCATATTACTTAGCAAAAATAAACTAATCTAAACAAGTGTGAAGCTAAAGGCAGCATCAGAAACTAATTACAAATAAGCTGATGCTGTTACGGGTCTGCCTGAATCAAAAGCACTGGAAGGTCAGTGAGTCTTGAATGGTATTGGACAATTCAAGCATCTGGCCTTTAAGGTTTTATTTGAAGTGTTATTTTTTAACATTCATATATATACCTAATTTGACTACCAAGTTGATTGGAAACAACATATATAAAAGATTTTCACTTCAAATTTACATATTTAGTCATCATTTTATCAAGTATCTATATCTATGTTAGAAACAAGCAAGAAAAAATGCCACCCACTTGATACTCTAGCAGAAATATGTTTTTCAGAGTTCTGCCTCAGAAAGTTTAATAAATATACATTGCATAAATTTATTTTGAACTTTAGATATGAAACTAAATTTTTGATATATTTTATATCAACTTCAGTTAAGACCTGTATCAGACTGATCTTCTCTGTGTATGTGTGAAGCCTGAGATACTTGCATCCAGCTCTCTGAAATTGGGTGTATAATGCAGTAATAGTGAAATATCTTTTAATGGGTTCCAAAAAAAAAAAAGAATATGTTGCACACAGTAAGACTAATAATAATTCCAGTAACATCAGTCTGTACTGATCTAGAGTCTTATGATTTTATATCTGATATCTATTATATATTAATGGATCTTATCTTATAAGCTAAGTTATTATATTGCATAAATCATGGTGTCATTAATGAGTGATATAAATAGTCTTTAACTAAGACAGGCATTTACAAACATTCTTGGTAAATGGGGAAGGGGTGAGTTACTGCTCTAACATATTTCAATAACATCTAGTAATGTTCTAGTAAATATTTGATATTTTTATTTTATTTATTACAAAAAATTTGAATTATTATTTTGTAAATGGTTTTAAAATGATATATAAATATCTTTATGTTTTATTGTCTTGTTCTGTGACCCATTCCAATATATCTTGTGACTCAGTTTGAAACTGCTGAACTAAGAAGTTGTTTCTAGGAGCTTAGAAAATTAAAAAGGTTGGCTGAAATGTAGAAATTAAGAGTAAAAATGACTAAATACATCAGTGATAAACAAAATGTTAAGATGGGAATAGAGCATTTGAGGGATGATAAAGGAAGGCTCATATTTGATCATTATGAAATGGCTGGGTTATTAGATTCTACTATTTCTTGAAATCTTACTAAGGAAGATTTAAGCAATATTCCTTATCCTGAACAGTTGATAGATGGAAATTAGATCAAACAAGATTATCACATTAATTCTGAGCTTGTTAAGAAAAAATTGGAAAGCTTAAAGAATGACAAGGTTCCTGGGCCACATATTTCCCCAAGGGTTTTGAAGGTGGTTCAGGATTGGATATATAAGCCACTTGTTACTATTTTTTCACATCCTTGAATAGTGGGCATGTGCCAGAAGATTAGAAGTTGTCTAATGTTTCTTGTCTTTTCAATGGAGGTGATAAAAATTGTTCTAGTAACTATTGGCCTATTAGTCTTACATCAGTGGTGAGAAAAGTTTTGAAAGTCTGACAAAAGATGGTTTGCAAAGTCAATTAACAAAGTATAAAATTTTATTGGATAGTCAACATGGTTTCATTATAAAAAAGTCTTGCCTTAGTGATCTTTTAACATTCTTTGAAGAAGTCACTGCTTATTTAAATGAGAGTGAGGGTGAGAATTTGGCTTATGTAGATATTTAGAAAGCATTTAACAAGGTTTCACATAAAAGGTTTGTTAAAAAAATTATCTCTCTGGGTGTAAGTGAAAAGTTCGCTTGTTGGATAGAAAAGTTGCTAGTTGGAAGAAAGCAGAGGGTTGTTATAAGTGAAATTCAGTCAAACTGGATTAATGTCACAAAGGGTCTTTGCTCATTTTGATTTATTACCTTTATGGCATAAATGAAGGAATGGTCAATAAATTACTAAAATTTGCTGATGATATTAAGGCCTCGGGTGTTGCTTTCTGTGAGGAGGATGAGGATGTGGCTGATTTATTTAACGAGTTGGACGAGTAACTGGTAGATGGCTTTTAATTATAATAAGTGTAGAGTAATTCATGTGGGTTATCATAATTTGTATTATAAATATAATTTTGTTGGGAATAACCTCAACAATGTTATGGTAGAAATTGATCTTGTTGTTCAGGTTGATAAGTCTCGTAAGCAATCCAAACAATATACTGTTGCTGATGGTAAGACAAATAGGATTTTAAGTTGTATCTACAGAAATATTGAATATAAGTATAAAGGGGTTATAATTTCATTCTATAGGTCACTGGTTAGCCACATTTGGAGTAAAGTTTTCAGTCTTGGGTTTTCTTATCTTACGAAGGACATACATAGGATACACGAGAGGACTACTACAATGCTACCTGGGATGAAAAGGTTATCGTATGAGTAGGGCCAATTATAGGGGGTGCCAGGAGGGGAATTTGGCCTGGGCTTCAAGCTCAAAGGGAGCCTCAAATGGTTATTTTTTTGCATTTGTTAAGTTTCGTGAATTCTTTCTATGCACAAAAAAAGGCTAGAAAAGCATATAGTAAATGTTAAATAATGTTAATTAAAAGATATCCAATTTATTTTTCACTTTTCTTATGGGCTAATGATTGTCTTGTGTTGTTTTCATGTATCGTCTTTCTTTTTTTTATTATAGTCATGTGCCTCAAAAGTTAGAAATGGCCTGGGCCTCTCTGAACTTCTTAGAGGGCCTGCGTATGAGAATATGTTAAAATATCTGAAATTGTTTTATTTTGAGAAAAGAATTAAGAGTTAGAGGGGATATGATTGAGGTGTATAAAATTGTTAAGGGAATTGGTTGTGTTCTTGCATCACTTAATGGTGAGAATGGTAGAATTAGGAGACACACATTTTGGTAGGGTAAGAGTCATCTTCAGCTATGACATTTTTATTTTCTAATGGGATAGTTGGCCTTTCGACTGGGTTGCCTTCAGATATGGTGGAAGCAGTAAATTTAAGGGAGTTTATGGGAAGGCTTGATAAATGTTTGAATGATAAGTGCAGGCTTTAAGTTTGAATGTGTGTGTGTGTGTGTGGTTTAATGGATGTAATAGTCTAAATGAACTGACAATTCTCTTGTTGTCCTTAAATGCTATATTCCAAAACATACTTAACTCTGCTAACACTAAAGCTATTTCTCCATCTCCATGGTTTCCACTCTTTGCTCATCTAAGCATTGAAAATGCTTGCTCCAGTCTTTTATACTCCACTTGAATGCCCTTGGCAAATTCTAATTTGTGAAATTCTCCACCAACTTCAATGTGCCCTCTATTTAGGTACTGTGTATATGCACCTCATTCAGATAATGTAATCACTTTTTCTCGACAAGGCATTTGGCACAGGTTTCTATAAATAGGAGTGTTGTGATTATTCACAATTTACGTTGCAACTTGGAACGTGGTTGTTGTTACTATGGTTATATCTTTGTTATATTTATAGATTATATTGACAAAAACGTACTGTTGGG